GTCCCCGATACAGATTTCTTATAAAACGTATCATCTAAGAAAAAAAAAATCAAAATCACCTTCAAAATTTATGAATTTTCAAAATCGTCTCTAACAATTATTTGTTCAGTTTCCAGCGAACTTTGATGTCAAAATTAAATCTTTGGTCGCGTAAAAAAAATGGTACTTGCAATGTTCACATGGTACAAGTAACGAGGAACAAGAGTGTATATACAATGGCGGTTTAGTAATAAAACCAACGTCAAGTTCGCCTGTAGCTCTTGCGGGATACCCAAGCCGTAATTTTCGGTACACCAAGTTTATGGGCAGTCGGTGGCTTATAGGGATGTTAAATTGTGGGAGGTCGTCGCAGTAGGGTGTCAGTCGTCGGGTGCAATCGGAAGTGGATCCAACCGAGTTTTCTCTGGCGAAGCGTTTCGAATAAATATCATTGTTTCCGGTGTGCACATTGACGAGGGGTGCAAGATCACAAAGGAGCAATTGTCGTCGCGACGGAAGCGTCGCTGGACCAGTTCGTTTTGGCAGCGATAAATTTTATAGGATCAAATCGATTTTCGATACCGATAACACTGTCGTATTCGTGCTATCGCTTAAAATAAAAATTGAGTAACGTTTCAAAATTTTGAAAAAAAAAATTCAATACAAAAAATATTCATCTCCGTTACTTATTAATGCATTATTTTCATACACGTCTCGATTATAACGTTTGCGTCTGTTATCTACTAGCTGCCAGTAGTAATAGCTACCAACTATTCGGTATCTCGTGTACAAAACTCATATCATTCAGGGAGCCAACACAATCCCGCACAATTTTTACGACGGATCAGCGTATTTCCGTGGATTTTCCTTGCGCTTGATTTATTGCGCGATACCAGATCCCATATATAATAAGGAGTTTTATGCCCGCACGGTATAATAGGGGTTGGACGTGGACTCGGTGTACGTCGTAAAATTCCAATCAAATGATGCATTATCGTAAATATAATGTAACGCAGCGTACGTAAATTTTGATGGGTTACCAACTTTATGGAAAAAAAATTTTGTTTGCGGTTACGATACCCCGATGACTGTATGACGAAACGAGAGTTTATCATTATTGCTACAGTAGATTGGTGATCATAAAACTCAATTTCGCTTCTCGGTGTATGTACGACTATCGGGGGAAATAATATTAATAAATTACTCAAATGAAAAATTTTTAAAAATTTTTCTGGGAAAAATTAAAACGTACAGTTGGAGGAACGGAATTTCAGGTAATAACAATGCAATGCAATCGCGAAAAATTAGACGAGTTTGTAAAAGTGCACTCGAGGAAGCTCATCGATTCGATTCACGTAAAAGATTCAATTGAGGCTACAGGTAGTTTCAGACGGAAAATCATTTTTACTCGAGTCTACACGACCATAGGAAAGCTACGTTAAATTGATTGCTATTGTTTTTTTTTTTTTGGATTTTCAATTATTGTTTAAGCTACGTGCGTTACGTGATATCCGCGTATAAAAATAGAGAAAACAAATAAAGCGGCGACACTTGCAATTACGAATTTTCGAAATGAGGAAGTCCGAGTATTTTCCGAATGAAACGCGTTACCCTAGGTCAGTATACTAGGCTATATGGTTGGTTCTAGAAACCTTTTGAGAAATCGCAATCCAATTGAAAGTGCCCGAAGTGCACGTTGACTTTCATTGAATGGAGGTTGCGAAAGCTGGAGAAGAAGTAAGAAAAGTTGAGGTAAAAAAAAAATAAAAAAAAAAGTCTAGCCTCTATACTACGTATAGAAAATGCAAGGGATGCTGTTCCGGCACGTAGCGACGCTAGATGCTTTTTCGCGAGAAAGTTCCAAAAAAATCAAGAGAATCAAGAAATACGGATCAGACGAGGAAGATGGGAGAATCTTACGTTTCAAAGAAATCAGTCTCCTGATACAGAGTAACGGAAATTCAAACGAGATAAATCAAGATGAGGGACAATTGAAAGGAGATAGAAAAATAGTTGTGACTACTGGAAAAGCGAATTGAAGGGAATAAGAAAGAAAAAAAGACAAAGTAAAAGTCGATTGCGCGAGGGACTCCATTGATTGTTGGAAAAAAAAAAAGAAAAAAACCACGTTTCAATTAAATTTCATCAGTGCCGAGAGCGTCGCGACGCCTCGAATGAATGCTGGTGGAAGGAAAAATTTGCGTCGGCACTCGGACGCAAAAACAAAAAAAAATAATGAAAAGTAGAAATAAATGAAAAAAAAAAAAAAAAAAAGTTCCGGAATGATTCGAAAAGCGAAACAAGCGGAGGAAATTGCCAGTTTACCAAAGGTTCAATTTTTCAGAACCAATTGCCGCGCGCGGAGACCAGACGTACCTGGCCTAGGAAATGAGATCTACGAGCGAGACCAACCGAACGGGGCCGGACGAGAGGACGAATGAGTTGCAGCAATTGATAGAACGCAATTTTCATTCGGCGCATACAGCGCCATTGGTTACCGTCACGGCGGGGGGTGCTGCAACTGCTGGAGGATGCATCTGCGACAGCAGCTGCAGTTGCAACCATTTTTTATATCTGTCTACTTCCTATACTAGAGAACCCTTCCCTATCCCTATCGGCAACCCCCTCTTGGCTATATGCATACATACACCCTTTATCCCTTTGTTTTTACTTTGCTGACGTGTTTGCAAGACTGATTGCATTTTCACAGACAAATATTGCGATTCCATGACAAAACTGATTGGCAGACGTAACGCATCCGCGCCTCTGATTCTCGCTATTTTCTCTCTCTCTCTCTCTCTCTCTCTCTCTCTCTCTTTACACGTATCCACTTCACGTATGCAGCCCTACCGTTTTCATGCACCTATTTCCTATGCACAATGCACGTCCTATAGCGCGCGTGCCATTGTCAGTCGTTATAATTGCACCCGTGTTAATTACGTGGTACACTAGAGAAGTAAGTGCACTCTCGCTCAAATTTCAGGAAAGGTCATTCAGTGGTACCAACCTACTTTCCAGACTGCAATGTAAGACAAAATTTAATGGAAAAAAAAAGTTCCCTTAAAAAATCCTGCATCCCCATTGCACGTTCACCCTCAGTCTGCCCCGTTTAACTTCTTTGCCCGTAAAAGCCAACGGGTTGAACGTACCAGCCAGTTCGCGGATTAAAGGTTATCCGAGGGTCAAAGGGTAAAAGGGAAAACAGTAGGTACTGCCATTTCAAGAGGGATTTGAGAAACCATGTAAAAGCGATGGGTAATGAATTCTAGTAATGCCCCAAGAATTAAGGGTGGGTCGGGTACCACTTCATATTAAAAAAAAAAAAAAAAAAAAAAAAAA